TTGATATGAAACATATTTATGTCACTTATTCCTCAGCTTCTTATGTCAGTTATTGTTATTTACTTATAAATAATTTGCAAATTAGAGTCAAATGTTTTAGATCTTAGACCAAACTGTCATATGAAAAATAGCAGAATTGGTATTAAATCCTCAGAAATGGGTTAGTAACTGGAAACATCTAATCATTTAGAGTGCAAAATTCATACATCTCAAACCTCATTCATTGTTATTAATTGAATATCTAGAAGTCTACTACACTTAATATTAAAATATTGACTTTTTTTAAAGAGTGGTGTACATCAATTTTAGCATTGTACCTAAAAATGAAAATTATTTGAGAAATAATGCATGTCACTAATAACGATTTTGTTCATATTTTAATCACTACCTCTAAACTTGCTCCCCCCTTGCCATTGTGTGTTGGATTTTCAATGGCAAACACACTTTCCATTCTAGAAAGCCAAGTTCTGGAATAAGCAAAGGAATAGGTTTCACACTGTTATCTACATAAATCACCTCCCAGTTACTGTCCACTCTAGTAAAGATCAGGGTTGATTACTTCTTAATTTAGAAACATTGAAATTTTTGCAATGAGCTTGATGAAATATACACCTCCCCCAAGTTCATAGGTAGAGCTTCTAAGTGAATCATAGTTTAGCTTCAGTTCGAACTACAGGGCTCATGCCATGGCTTAGGTGGTAATTATGCAGCTTCTAGAAAGAACATCCATATAATTTTACCTAATTTTGTGCAAATTTGCTATACTCATTAGCATACCCATTAGAAAAAGTAAATGAAACTTGAACTTCAAAAAGGATTTTTTAAAAACTTTTGAGCATCTTTGATGTTAAAGCAGTAGGTTGAAATTATTGGCAAAAATTGGGTTTTGCAACTCAGTTATCTAGAGATTGCAATTACATTTGCTACCCTTCCCTCCATTACCCCCTAGGAAACTGAAAGCTGGATATATTAACTTGTTATATTATCTTCAGTCCAGAAGGTTTTATAGTCAAGTTTGAGCTTATCTGTTACTTGAGAATTTTATAAAGTAGACCTTATGCATCAAATTTCTAGCTTAACATTGTTTTCTCTCTCCTCCCCAAACTCTCCTCTTGCTTCTCATTTTCAACTCTCAAAGAGAACGAAAACCTATCATTAATGCCCTCTTCTATCAAGGGAAGAACCAGAAGCAAAATACAAAATTTAATTTCAAAACATTAACTCTTTCTGGTTCATTGTGCAAGTTCTTTACCCAACGTGATCTTATTTCATGGTTTATAAATCTCTGTGTTTTATATATTCACATTCAAGTGTCTTAGAATCCTGCTCTTTAGAATTATGAAAAAAATGCCAGTTTTGATCTGTCTGGGTAAATCAAAATAAAAAATGCTCACCAGATTAATAAATGACAAGAGTGTTTCTGCATGACATCATTAAGCCGTGGATATTGACAGTAGGGAAGGTTTGGAGACATCTGATGGGTTCCCATTATTCATAGCTGTTTTTCTGTTTCACTTTATTCACTGTTCCCTTCTTCAAATATTAGGACACAAGCCATAAAGTTTGTATTTTTAAATTCTAAAAGCAGAAAAGACCAGCTGAAATATTAAACCTGGCTTCCCTCGCTTTTGTGACATACACAGGTGGTTCATCATTAGAAGAATGATAAACAAATCAGCACATTTATACAAATGCAGAAACTTGGCAGGGTTAAATGAAATGGTACAAATCTGCCTTCAGGGCATTTTAAACAAATGATTAAGAAGTGAAACCTAAGCCAACTGGGGAGAGAGATGATATTTACTCTATCACAAACATCAAGTCAAATGTCACCTTGAATGTTCTTACAAGGTTATTTCAATAACCAAAGGCATTCTTAATGAAACTACACTCCTTGGCCTATGGGGTGGATTCCTGTAAACTTTAGAAATACACTGGGTTAATGGTAGAGTTCAGTGGTAGAGCACTAGTTTGGCCTGAACAAGGTCCTGGGTTTGATCCCTACTGTCTCTTGTCTCTGTCTCTCTGTCTCTCTATCTCACACCACACACACACACTATATATATGTGTGTGTGTGTGTGTGTATATATATAGGTATATTATATATATGGTATATACACACACATACATATATATATATATATGGTATATACACACACATACATACACACACATACATTTTATATATATATATATATATAAAATATGTGTATATTTATATATATAAATTTATATATATATATATAAATTTATATATATATAAATTTAAGCTATTAATTTCTAAAATACCGAGTCTCTTAATACTGGATGCCTCAACATATTTATAAATAGAATTAATATTCCTGCCCCAACTCCCAGAGAGTCTGAGTTCTTGTGCCTGAGGTGAGCAGGCATCTGTATCTCTTTAGTGTTCATTATATGGTTGAAGTATTCAGTCAGAGTTAAGACCCATAGGAGGTCCTGGGATCACATATTCCCTTAGAGAAAATGCAAAGGTAGAATAACAATGCAGCAATAGGATATACAGGGTGGTGTGTCCCAAGAGCTCCTAACTCTCTGGGAAGGGTAGAGGAGCATCAGAAATACAGGAGAGATAAGGAGGGTTTCCTCAAGAAAATGCAGTGGTTAAGATGCTTGAAGAAAGAGTTGGATCTCATTATTGTTGAATAACCATTTTTTTTTTTTTTTTTGGATACTGGAGATTGAACCTAGGGGTGCTTAACCATTGAGCCACATCCTCAGCCCTTTAAAAAAATCTTTTTTCGTAGTTGTATGTGGGAGACCAACCTTACACGTGACTGGGTCACACTCCCCGGCTGGGTGCTGAGGCGTTCAGTCACAGAAATGTGGTCAGTGTCTTGTGCATGGGTGTGTCTTGCTACAGCCCCATGGGTGAAGCTATGCTCACCTGTTCCTTTGTAATATCACCCCTTGCCCTGTTTAGGATAGAATCTTCTATGGAAGTGCCTTGTGTGTGTCCCCTCTTCTTACTGTGCCCTTGGGTGTGGCCTACCCAGGTGTCAGTCAACCTGCTGACAGTGGACATCATGAAGATAGACTCAGCCCCCTGAATCCTGACCCCTTGCCTCATTTGAATAGCTTCCCTCAAATAAAAGGGGTCAGCACGTGTGTGCGCTCTCTCTCTCTCTTTCTGCGGATCCTTAAGGTCAGAGGAACAGTCACAGCGACCTCAAAGAAAAAGGTATTTGTGTCTCTTTGTGGTTATTTCGTGCAGCCCAGTTAGCCCAGTTTAACTGGAGTGACCCCTGAGCCTTTTAGTTGCAAAACCCGGCAGTTGTATATGGACAGAATGCTTTTATTTTATTTTTTATTTTTATGTGGCGCTAAGGCTTAAACCTAGTGCCTTACATGTGCTAGGCAAATGCTGTTCCACTGAGCTACAGCCTCAGCTCCTCTCAGCCTTTTTGCATTTTATTTAGAGATGGGGGTCTCACTGAGTTGCTTAAGGCCTTGGTAAGATGTTGAGGCTGGCTTTGAACTCTCAAATCCTCCTGCCTCAGCCTCCCGAGCCACTGAGATTACAGGCGTGTGCCACCATGCCTGGCTGTCCAATAACATTTTAAATATTTTTCCTGGGGTTTTCAAAACATGAGAATATTTTCCTTTCTTCAAGTTGACCTAGTAGAGGCCCCAATAGACCACACCTTACAGAGAAGCAATTTTTGCTTTGAATTGAATCCAATCTGAGCTCTGAGGAGGTTCATTTGGAGGGTCACAGTGATCTGCACCTGGCATATCTCCATAACATAAGGGCCCCTGTGACTCTTTTGTCCCCTTTAACTGTGGATTTTAAGTATAAAGGATTTATGACCTAAGTTATGAACAGAAAGCCCTGGCAGGAGTTTACTGGTCATTTTGGCTCAAATGTTCTTATTGGTTATGTTAAAGCAACCCAGGTTCAGTTCTTAAAAGTACCCTTGATATTACAAAGTATGGGAAATAAGCCATATCTTAGCTAAACATCTTCACATCTAATGATGCAAGCCAGCCTTGTGAGACTCGCTAGTTTAGATTTTAATAACAAATCTTATCAAATAAAGCAAAGATAGAACAGACTAGAAATTAGAGTTTTATTCAGCCAGAGGTCATTCATGTCATTTCTCTATTAATTAATTTGAGTAATATATTCAAATAAACATTCTTTTCCTAAGATCATATCACTTAGACATTTATTTTTAGAGTTCTAGTATTATTGTTTTTACTCATGATGTTTTCTCTGTCTGAATGTTCCTCTCTCTTTTCTCTTCATTCTATTTTGCTGAAACTTCCCATTGAACATATGCTCCTCCAAACTATTCCATGCCTTCTTTTCCTTTCACTTGGGACATTTACCTTTCATGTATGTGAACTACCTTGGTACTAAGTACATAGCAGATCTTGACTATAAATAAATAAATAAATAAGTAAATAAATAAATAAATAAAAAACGTTTGGACTGGACCCCACATGCATAAAGTTAAAAATCTTCCAACTGAGTTTTGGCCAGGGTTTTAACAGGTTACTCCCCTGCCAATGACGACAGTTCTGGATAATGCCAACCCTCATCTCTGACAGAAGGGCACAGTATGTTATTGCAGAAGCACAGCCAAGTAGGGAAGAGACCAGGATGCTCACTTTTCTTCCTGGTGTTAACTAGCCATGCAATCTTGACAAGTTATTTGCTTCCCCTGACTCTGGTTGCCTCAATTGTAAAATCAGGGTTAGTAATGCCTTATTTATCAAGAAGCAAGAAACCTAAATGTTTTTCATAAGGACTCCAAACTATTACAGATCTTTGAATCAAACCAGTTTTAGTCATATACAAATACAATTTGAGCATAATACAGAACTTCATTTGAAAATGCTGTGAAACATATGTGTGATAATGGATTGACTGCAATCATGTGTTTAAAATGAATTAAATGTCACATCACTAATTCTCACTTATTGTTAACACTTCTATCCCACTTAGAAAGAACCCTCAAGCCTCTGTTTCTTACCTTTTGATTTCCGTTCATGGTATGACCTGCCTCGATAATGAGGAGTGTCCAAATACAAATTCTCAAGATCGTCTTGCCATGACTCTGGATTAAAGTGCTTGAGCAGATCTTCCACAGTATCAAATTCTGCAACTTTTTTGTCCAAAGCCTCCACAGTGAGAGCAGAGTCCGTTACAGATGAAGAGCGATAGGATACCCCCTAAGAGTGACACACAGTTCAGTGTACTCAGAAAAAGTCCAATGATGTGAAATTCAACACTTATACAGCTATATGGAAGGAACATATACAGGCTCATGGTTATAATACATCATTTGTATAAATAACATGCAAAAGCAATCTGGCACCATCTTGCCTACTCTAAAATAAGAGCAATGAATTGGTAAAAGACGGTCATTCAATTTTTGGAAATCAGAGCTAAGCTGATCATAGAACTTCCAGTTCATTTGAACTGCAATCACTTACAAAGATACAGGCTGTGTGAAAATATAAAAGTTAAGTCATCAAACTTCTTGGTTCAAGGTCCCTAGTCATCCATATATCAACTAATAATGGTGAGAATTATAATTCTGAACTCCACCCAAGCAAGTTTTCTTAATTCATTCTATTCTCCCACACTTAGCCTCTGCCCCAGGTCACCTAGCCTTACAGATATTGTGTGAGCATTGTTTCACTAGATTCTAGGGACATTTTGATAAAATTTTTCACTTTAACCAATTTATTTACTGTCAACAGGATAATTAGCCATGCAACTCTCTTGACTGACAAGTGCAAGATTCACAGGGGAAACTTATTAAAAGGGAAAAAAAGTGCTGTGGCTTGCTAGTGATCCCAGCTGTCATTAAAAAATTCCTGAATATTCTTTAAATGAGGAATATAGCACCACTGGAAGACTGGAAAGGATTATGTATTTTGCCCTGGAAATAAAACATCCCCACATAAGGTTTCCAAGCACTTACTTCACTAACCCTTGTACAATCTGGAGGTAAATGAGCCATGATTCAAACATCTCTGTAAAAATTCATGACCCATTAACAGGGAAATAGAGAGCACATAGCCTCAAATGTTTTTTAAATGTCTTTAAAGAAACTGCCAAACAAATAAGATCCCCCAAGGGCAAATAGCTCTTATCACTAAGGGAGAATGGAAATTAATGAAAACTTGCTTTCCTGAAACTTAACTGCAGTGTCCTATCAAGAAATAATATGCACTATAGAGTCTCAGACAGCCAACCTCTCAAACTATATTCTCACTCTCAGGCCATGTTTCCTTTCTTTAACCACTCAAGGTCCAAAGGCTGGTAAGTTATTTGATGAACCTGAAAGCATTTAACTACCATGAGTATAACACAAAAGGAGTTTTTAAAGATGTCCTGCAGGTAAAAGGAAGTGGGGGCAGGAGCTGGGGAGTAGGGTAGAAGGCATGAGATGGTTTGGTGACTGTGTTGGCCAGATTGGGATAGTTTCCATGGTGATGGTTGTTTTTTACCTCGAGAAAGCATACATCTGACTTTCAGTAAGCCCTGTCACAGTAACTAGACATTCTAATCCTAGACCAAACTTTTTCTTCCATGCTACTTTCATTACTTTATTATATATATATATATTAAAAAAAWATATATATATATATAATTACTTTATTCTATATATATTCATTTCTATGTTCTGCCCAGGCATGTTCAGATAATCACTTATCTTTGTCATATGTCACTGAAGAGTTTAGAGATTTGTTAATAGTTCTACCCATGATAAAGACATCTTCTATAGTCATCTTGTGGATATGACTCTCATCTGGGTGCCGCCATATTTGTTCCTTCTGTTCTTGATAGGTGGTTCTGTTCTTAACTCCTTAATCTAGCTGTGTGTGTGTGGTGTGTGTGTGTGTGTGTGGTGTGTGTGTGTGTGGTGTGTGTGTGTGTGTGTGTGTGTGTGGTGTGTGTGTGGGGGGGGATTAGCCTTGACAGAAGCACCTAATTTCTGTCTTTCCAACTCTCTTGATACTAGATGCTAAGGGTAGATAACACTTATAATGCCGAGTCCCCATCCAACTCATGTTGTTCTAGATAATTTTGTCTATTTGATTCATACTTAACAGATGATTTATAATTAGCCTTGTATCAAAAAATTAAAGTGTAGGAGTTCAAAACTCAAAATGAGCTGACCAAAATTAGAAGCATGATAACACACAAAAGCTTTGAAATTAAAATGCTTTCCTCTGTTTTGAAATAAAAGTTGGGATATAAATCAAGTCATTCCCACAAAAGTGAAAGCTTCTTGTAACAGCTCTGGGGAAAACAGCTGCAAGGAGTATTCTGGGACAGCCCTTAAGAGTGCCTGGAGTATAGTGTGCACCTAGATATTGAAGAGAAAACTCTGAAGTTACTCTCAGTCCCGAGGGGCAGAGGGAAGTCTAATCTCTTCTAATATTACCTGAAGAGCAAATCCAAACCATAGGTAAAATACAAATTTGTCCTTATAGATGAGCTGTTTTCAAGTTTTAACTTGGGGTAGTTGATGGACACAGTGATAATAGTTAAAAAAATATTTATGAGTCATTAGGGGAGCTAATGAACACACAAGAATATTTGTTTCTGAAGTAAATATTTAAAAACTATTTTTGAGATAAAGAGCCAATTGGGTGTGCCTCCTTCAGCTGCACTATACATTTAATTTCATTCAGTGTTTGTTATATATTAAAAAAAATCCTTTCTAAAGTTAATCAAATTCCTTTAAAATTATAACAATTTGTGAAGAATACTCTGTAAACTCTTTTAAACAAAAAAGTTGGTTTATATAAAACTTAATGAGAGGTCTAATAACCCTTGATCCTACTCCAGAAGGTTCTTGAAAATTAGGTTATTAAAGAAAACAAAAAAGCTATCTCTTTTTTGATCTTCCAACAGGGCCAAGCAACACCCTTATAGTTAAAGCCAAAAATTTCCACTGGATAGGGGCTCAGGGATAAACTTTCTCAGATATTCAAACAGAGGAGCAACCCCTCTTTCTGAGTACCTGTGCTACAGTTTGGATCTTGAATGTTCCTGTTATGGTTTAGGTATTAGATGTCCCCCAAAAGCTCACATGTGAGACAATGCAAGAATGTCTGTAGGTGAAATGATTGGGTTATAAGGACCTTAACCTAATCAGTGCATTAATCTGCAGATAAGGATTAAATGAGTGAAAACTGTAGGTGAGTAGGGTATGACTGGGGGAGGTAGGTCACTGGAGACATGTCCTTAGGGTTCATATTTTATTCATGGTGAGGGAAACACTCTGCTTCCTGCTGGCCATGTTCTGAGACACTTTCCTCAACCACACTCTTTCTCCTTGATATTCTTCTTCACCTCACGCCCCAAGGATTGGAGTCAGCTCTCTATGGTGAGACCTCTGAAACCAGGAGCCCCCAAATAAACTTTTCCTCCTTTAAAATTATTCTTGTCAGGTATTTTGGTCAGCAGTGAAAAAGCTGGACTAGAATAGTTCCCCATATGTTAAAGGCAGCCCCCAAGGGTGGTGCTGTTGGGAAATTGAGGTCCTTAGATTGTTGGAGATCTGCCCCTGAAGGGGACTGTGGGAATGCAACCCCTCCTCTTCCCTTCTTTTGCTTCCTGGCTCTGAGGTGAGTGGTTTTACTCTGTCACGAGCTCCACCATGATGTGCTGCCTTGCTCCAGGCTCAAAGCAGTAGAGACAAATGATCAAAGACTAGGACCTCCAAAACTGAGAGCCAGGCATTTTATTACAGTGCTGAGAAAAACCACTACCACAACCTGGATTATCCTTAATTAGTTAAACCTCCTTTAAAGTATAATTCTGCATGTGGTGGAGGAATAATTGGACAACTCTGAGCTAGTATACATAAAATGCTTGAGAAGTTGGAGGATCCCTTGATACTCAACTTCATTGTAAAAGCTGATGCTGGCATTTACCTTGAGTTATTAGCCTCAGGCTGCCACTGCCCAGCCCTTCTGCTYAGCTTTATTCTATTCTGATTTTCACCCATCTGACAATGATCACATACTCTGAACTAGATCATACATTCTAGAATGTTCAAAGCAAACTAATAAAACATTCAGACTACCATCTGAGACCTCACTGATCTCTTGATCAGATGATGTTCTATCTAGTTCAGCAGCCACACGGGGTGAACTAGAGTCACAGAATCCATAGCTGAAGAAATCCTGCCAAATGAGTGAATTTAAGAAAATCCTCAAAAGAGAGTATATCAGTGTTGAAAAACAAATCAAGCCTGATTTGGCCACATGGACCCACTTTAGAACCAAGGACATCCTTTCTCCATGTTCCTGACCTTTGTATGAACAACTGCATTTATTACATTGTGTTTTGTTGGTACATAGGTACTATATGTAAGATTGGTGAAAGCAAGTTCTGCTTTTTCTGTGCAGAGTAGATAAGACTAAATTTGGAGGAAAAAGAAAAAGGGGTGTGAACCATTTTACAGCCTCAGGGTGAGTTATGTTTTATCTCCAAGTCAAACAGAATACTGTATGCAGCTGATTTGTGAAACTACTCACCTGCTTACAGTTATCTTACTGTAAACACTGGGATTTTTCAAGGCTGAAATGACCCTTGAAGAGCAAAGGTTAACAGCTTCTCCTAAAATATTCAGAAAGCCATTTCAAAATTACCAACTTGAACTGGGGCCACAAATCACTTGGAGAAGTCTGAACAGTCATTTTGTTGAAATGCTATTCTTTGAAATGGACAAATAGTTAAGTCATTGTCTATTCCAAGTTCCTACAATGGTATATTGGCAATTCCTGAAAGTCTTTGTAAAAGGCCCAAAGCGGTGTCTGACAGAAATCATTCTAACCTGATCAAAATGGAAGAACATACCCTGCCTGAGATATGATGTAGGGTCAAGCAACAGGTCCTTAATGCAGCTGGAGTCCTTCTGGACTTGACTTTAGCTGTTGCATCAGTTTCTTTCACTGGCAATGGATTAATAAATTACTTACCGAGTTCGAACTTGTGACCGATTCCCAGTTGGTGTCTGAGGCTTCTGCAGGTTGGAAATCTTTCTAGAAGGAAAAGGAACATTCATGTGCATCAGTTAATCCTCTGTATAACTCATTATGTGCAGGGTTTCAACAACTTAGCATTCTGAATCTTCTTCCAAATAAGTGACAGCAGAAAAAGAACTACCTTCTTAGTGAACAGGTCACAATTTTTCATCTGCTCACAAGAACCCTCCTCATTCAAGACAAGAACAACTGTATCAATATTCTCTTGTAAGTATTAGTGAAAAAGAAAATGGGGCACATAAAAGCTCATATTTCAACTGGACCATCCACTGGTATGTGACCTCAGGTGACTTCCTTAACCTCTCTTTCCTCCCCTTCTTCCTTTACAAAGGGTTGGTATGAAATGCTTAAACTTCAGGATTTTTTTGAGAATTCAATGTATTAATTATGCAATTATAGCTGGCACCTAATAAAGTGCTTAATAAAGAGTAAGAATAATAATTATCATTATTGATGCTTGCTTGGTTTAAACTAGATTCTGCATCATGTTTAATCCTGCCGGCTGAGGTAATCCACAATATTGCTGATATTTTCAAAGATAAACTAACTTCCATAAGCTATTCCTGACCCTTATAACCAAAGTAAGGAAGAAAGGAAGGGGAAAAAATGACCATGGGAGTGACCAAGTACTACCTACTGAAGGAAAGATGATCAAGAACAGTTCTAAGAAGGTTGTCTCAGACAAGTCTGAATAAATTCAAGATAGCAATGGATCTCTAAGTCAGAAATTTCTCCCCAAAGGCAAACTTGTCTCCCATTTGTATGTAACTTTCATGAGAATTATTCAAGCACCAGTAAATTAAAAAAAAAAAAATGAGAAGAACTGAATCTACCACCAGTCTGACCAGGGAGTTGGAAGAATTCAGAGATGATGCTGAGAAATACTCAGCCACTCAAATATGACAGCTTATTTATCTAAGTATACTTACTATATGAGAGCAAAGTACCAGGTCTAAATTTCATTAACATTTTGAGAAGTTGGAAGTGCATTTGTTAATTGCTCATGATGAGACTGGTTTGTATATAAATGTCTATGTCATAGAAAATTTTAGCTGTTTACCAACAGAGAACTGAGTCAAATATGGGGTTTGAGGAATGAATATACATTGAAAACTGACTAGATACTAGATATCATTATAAATATTCTCAACCTCAGGGAAATATGTCTCTGCACTCTGAAAAAAACATAATATATATTAAATAAACACTAAATCCTCATAGTGGAAGGATGTATATAAACAACAAAGGTTAGCATTGATGAGTTTTCATAATCAGGTGAGACTGAGAAGGAGAGCAAGCAGTCAATGGCTTTTCTATGTCTTGACAAGACTATACGAAGTGAGGATATATGCCAGGTAAATTAATTCATTATCCATTATTATAACAAAATATCTGAGGTATTTTATAAAGAAACAAGGCCTATTGAATTCACAGCTTTGGATGCTGAAAGTCCAAGATTGGATAACTCCTTCTATCTGGCCTCCTGTGAAGGTCAAATGGCATATGGCATCACAATGGAAACGTGTGTGTGAGAGAAATCACACAGCAAGACGGAAGACAGAGAAACTGAAGTCCCAAGAGAAATACATTATTCCCCCAGTGACATGATGACCTCATAGTAGGCCCCAACTTTTAAAGGTCTTAAAACCTCTGGATACCACCACATTGAAGACCAAGTTTCCAACCCTTGAGCCCTGGGGGGTCATATTCAAAACATGTTCAAGCCATAATTCCACCAGTTGAGATAATGACATAAGCAATTCTTAAATCATATAATTTTCATTTTCACTGGTTCATTTAATATTTGTTAATCACGTCCCATGTACTAGTGTGCTTTCTAAGCTAAGGTTGAATAACAAGGAAATAAGCAATTTCTGCCCTGAAGGAGTTCAAAATGTAAATATATAAACAGGTACAATAAGCTCATGCTCTGATACCAGTCTAATCGGTATAATACAAAAGATCCACAATTGTACTTCTATGAGGTGAGTTTGAAAAGCTTTCACATACCAAACTGACTCTTTGAGTGGAGTCTTGAAAGGTATTAATAGATGAAATAAACATGGGATAGAAAACTCAAAGAGAGAAATGTTAGACACTGTGAGAAATATATACAGAAAAAGGAGCAAGTTCCTGGGGAAAGTTAATAATAGACTTGGAATGTTTCAGGTGCCTGTAGAATATTTAGGTAGAGATTCTCAGAAGGAGATTTTTTTTTTTAATGAGAATTAACCGAATGAGAGAGAGATTTGAACTAGAGATCTATAGATTAATTATCAACACAAAAATGACAAAGCAAGTAATGGATTGTGTTGACCACATGTAAAAATCAGAAGCATGACATTTTTAAAAATCTTGGATCTGGAAATAGGTGTAGGGCTGTCTAGTCCAATCTCCTCATTTTAGGAATAAGAAATTGGGTTCTCAGGTAAATGGCATGTTCTTATCATGTAGCCATCTTCTGGTCAAACTAGAACCATCAATAGAAACTGTGTGGTGATTTTTCACATCCTTGCAGCTAGCATTGGAAACATTCTGGAGAAGGAATAATGGAACTGTATCCAAAGGAGGAGTCAACACAAGCGCAGAAAAGCTATGAAGCAGAGGATTGGTGAATGTTCTGTAAGGACATCATTAGAGATCTCAAAAGTAACTATGTTCTGTGACTCCAATTTGTTTCTTTGCATAGACACATGGTAAAACTATTTTTGTTAAACTTTTTTTAAGTGTAAAAGGTCTTTCATATTCAAGTACCTAGACAAATATTACAAAACAACTTTTAGCTTCTTTACTGTCTGGGTTACAAGGTTTCAGCCGGAAACTTTAATAGGAACAAATGATAAAGGATTTCATTAAATCCCACATAAAATTTAACTTTATCTTCTCCTAGTAACATGAATATTAGACATTTAAAAGCAACCAACTTTCTTTTATGTTACTTCAAAAGTTTGCCATCATTTATAAGTGACATATTTGAAATGGGCTTATAAAAGAGAACTATGTCCCATAAAAAATGTGATTTGAAACCTCCAAGATTTTAGCCCTAAAAGCAGAATCTCAGAACAGGGAGGAATATAATGATCTTACTTTCTAAATATATCCTCAATGTGGTCATTTCTCATCTCTTCCATCACAACCTCCTTAGTCTATGATATCGGCAAGACTCCCAAAACCCTGTTAGCTTTTGCCATAAGTCCACACTCCTCCTAGCAGCCAGAATTATCTTCTTGAATGCTAAATCAATTATATATGTCTTAAGACCCTCAAGTAGCTTTCCATTGTACATAGTATCTGTCCTTGTAAGATCTGACCACTGCTTGCTTCTATGGCCTCAGCTCTGGGTGTCCCACTCTGATCTGATGTCCTACATCTCCCACTAATTCCACTCTGCCTACATTGGCCTTCCTAGAGTCCTTCAAATAGTGCTCCAAGCTTCCACTCCCCTTAGTTTTAATCTGCTGTTGTTCCCTCTGCCTGGATGTGCTTTCCCCCAAATGTTCCAAGGGTTGTCTCCTCATCATTTAACTGTCTGCTCAAAATTTGTTCTCACATCTTTAGAGAATGACCTTGAGCATTCCACTTAAAATACCCTCACCCATTATCACTCTATCTACTTAACCTGCTTAAGTAGATTTCATTTAAACTATGGCTACCCATACTTTAAATGGTTTTATGTTTCCTTATGGATTATCTCTTTCCCTATCTGGAATGGCAGGGACCTTATTCATTTATTTTCAACTTTAATCTCTAATTTCCTAGGTGAGTTTTGGGTATACTCTGTAATTCCTCTGGCTTACAGTGGTCACTTAGAATGGCCAGCAGTTCATAGCCAGAGACCATTCTATGTCATGCTGTTTGTTATACATTTTAGGCATCATTCTGGTTAGATTGCTTGCTTTTTCAAGTTCCAGGCTAATGGAAGACTAACTCTTTTTCCCCCCATGGATGTTCTTAGCAAAGCATGCTCTTCTATCACGTTAAGAAATGCTAAAATAGAACAGTGAATAATCATTAAAAATGTGTCATAACAGCTCATCTTATAAAGAACACACTTCTGTTATTTGTTAAAGCAAACTCACAAAAGTGCTTTAAAAGCTATGGTCTGCTCTTCTTAGGAGATAAGTATTTGGTAAGAATTTGCTATACATTTGGCACTTGATTTTTTCACCCCCAGCTCTGGAATTACAGTATCTTCCATCTTAAAATTAAGGAGCTGGTAATTTGATTATTTTTTCCCCTGAGTCCATGTAGGAAATCTTAACACTTCGATGCTATGCATACCTTACTTTACCTTACGGATATCATCTAAGGAGTCCAGTGATCTCCTTAGAAAGATGAGCAGACTGAAGCTCAGAGATCAAATGAACTGCCCAAGATCCCCAAACTAATTACTACTAGAGTCAGGACTAGACATTGCTATTGTGTACCTCGAAGTCCCATGCTCTTTCTAACTCAGCAAGCAACATAACATATCATTCTATAATTGCAGGTTTCCTAATCAGCTTTGCCTTAATCTAATAAGAATTAATTTACATCATTAAACATAATAATTTATTCTTAGTTTATGTCCTCACCTTAAAATGGCTCATAATTATATTTTGGCAGTGAAACTCATCATTTGGCAGTTGAGATAAGATTCATTCCCCCATTCTCTGCACTGTTATATTTGGAGTAGTTTTGAAACCATAGATATTATTCTCAGATATTTGCTTTTTAAATAGCTTAGTATGCAGAGTTTGGTTTGTATGAAAAAAGGTTTTATGGACTAGAAAGTTGGGGAGGTATGTAAAAATAAAATCTTAAAATGCTGCATGAAAATACAGATAAATATTTATATAAATGTAGTTGGGAGGAAGAATTTCTAAGCAGCAATGTTAAAGTCAGAAAACACAAACATTGATACAACTTGCATATACAAAAGGTTGTATAAATCCAAAGGATATCAAAAATAAGATTAAAAGCATAATGACAAACCAACTCATAATGACAAAATAACA